CAACAGCAGTAACAAACATTGACTGGCACACTGAGCTAGAAATCTATACAGATATTGACGAATGTTTTAATAATTTTCTAAAAAAGACCCAATACCTTTATAACAAGCACTGCCCTAAAAAAACTAAACAGATGACAGCTAAGAGACTGAACAGTCCCTGGCTAACACCCAGCATTCTCAAATCCATAAATACAAAACACCGATATGAAAAACAGTACAGAATGGGTCACATAACCAGAGACCAAACAAAACGTTACTCGTCAATCCTAACCAGCCTGATAAGAAGGGCAAAAAAATTGTATTATGAGAACAGATTATCCAACTTACGAGGTGATATAAAAAAGACCTGGAAGACCCTATCAGAAATTCTGGGAACAAAAAAGATATCACGACATAGCAAAATAAAATTAGCAAAATCAGATGAACCCCAACTCCCACCAACAGAAACAGCAAACAGACTCAATGATTTCTTCTCCACTATAGGTCAAAACCTTGCCAATAAAATCCCAAGCTCAGATACCCCACCAAATGACTACCTCACTGGCAACTACCCGAACACACTGTTCCTAGCTCCGACTAACCCATACGAAGTCTCCCTTATTATCAACGCACTGAAAAACAAGGCAGGAGATTTAAATACCTTAAGATAAGATAAGATTTCGTTCGGATTTTTAACCCCGGGGGGTTAGCCACCCAGGATAACCCAAGAAAGTCAGTGCGTCATCGAGGACTGTCTAACTTATTTCCATTGGGGTCCTTAATCTTGTCCCCCAGGATGCGACCCACACCAGTCGACTAACACCCAGGTACCTATTTGCTGCTAGGTGAACAGGACAACAGGTGTAAGGAAACGTGTCGAAATGTTTCCACCCGCCGGGAATCGAACCCGGGCCCTCCGTGTGTGAAGCGGGAGCTTTAGCCACCAGGCCACCGGGCCACCTTACCACCCTTTATATACAAAAAAGCGTCACAAGTACTATCACCAATCATTGCAACACTTTAACAAATCCATTGAATCCTCCACCTTCCCTACAGTTCTCAAAATAGCAAGGGTCACCCCGATCCATAAAGGAGGAGACCAAACAGAGTTGAATAACTATAGGCCAATATCCAATTTACACCCTCTCTCAAAAATCTTCGAAAAATTAATTCATAAACGAATCTACTCCTACCTCATCTCCCAAAACATTCTCAGCCCCTGCCAATTTGGATTCAGGCCTAATAAATATACTAATGATGCCAAAACCTACTATATTATGTTTGGTAGCAGAGCAGGAGATGCACAAATTAACATTAAGATCGACAACACTCTAATTACCAGACATAATGAGGGCAAATTCCTAGGCCTATACCTTGACAACAACCTGAATTTCAGCACCCATATCCAACACATAACCAAAAAAGTATCCAAAACAGTTGGGATCCTCTCCAAGATACGATACTACGTGCCGCAAAATGCCCTTCTCACACTATACCACTCACTTATTTATCCATACCTCACCTATGCTATTTGTGCTTGGGGATCAACTGCAGCAACACACCTAAAGCCAATAATAACCCAACAAAAAGCTGCAGTAAGAATAATCACTAAATCCCATCCCTGGCAACACACCCCCCCACTCTTCATAGATCTAAACTTACTCCCTGTTCAGTACATCCACACTTACTACTGTGCAATCTACATCTACAGGACCTTAAACTCCAATATCAACCTTGACCTAAAACGCTTTCTTGATAGTTGTGACAGAACCCACAGGCATAACACCAGACACAAACATCTCTACGACATTCCCCATGTCCGACTAAACCTTTACAAAAAATCAATGTATGTCAAAGGCCCTAAAATCTGGAACACCCTACCTGAGAACTCTAGAACTGCAGACACATTCATCACCTTCAAAACTACCATTAGAAAACATCTTATCTCCCTGATAAACCCATCAACTAACTACACGAATACCACCTGGTGGTTCACACTTACACTCACTCACCCATTTGACCATAAACAGAAATATTAATCTCAATCTTAAAATAATGAATCCTATGATACTCCAATACTGAAACTATGTACTGTGCCAAAACAAAAGCATTCACATTGCTAAACTCACAAACTAGTATTTAGTCACTTAGCCATAATACCAACTTACCTCATAATTTGTAATATTTTAAAATAAAGAATTAAACTAAGTCTGCCCGAAATGCCTAGCCATGCTAGGCGTTCTAGTCGTACACTCTGTAATCATTATTTAACTACATGTAAACCACACAACAACCAAATTCTGTAAATCCAGCATTGTAATCTTTATAGAGAATAAACTTTGAATATTATACACATGCTAGAACATATATACACTGCAATAGAGAAAAAAGAAGTCCCACTGGGGATCTTCATTGACTTACGTAAAGCTTTTGATACAGTTGACCATGACTTGCTCCACGTAAAATTGTCGCACTGTGGTATTAGAGGGCAATCCCTCAACTACCTCAAGTCTTACCTCAGCAACAGAAGCCAATATGTGTACGCAAATGGGGCAAGCTCTTCCGCACAACCAATTACAGTTGGTGTCCCACAGGGAAGTGTCCTTGGCCCTCTTCTCTTTCTCCTATACATAAATGACCTACCAAATGCTTCGCAATTACTCAAACCCACACTATTTGCAGATGACACTACATACGTCTACTGTCACCCGAACCCAGTCACGCTAGCCAATACTGTAAACACCGAATTACAGAAAATATCTACCTGGATGAGGACTAACAAACTTACACTAAACATTGACAAAACCTACTTCATTCAGTTTGGTAGCAGAGCTACAGATGTACCTCTTAACATAACGATAAACGGATCACCTATCACAAAGCTAACAGAGGGAAAATTCCTAGGAATCCACCTCGATAATAGACTCAAATTTCATACACATATACAACAAATTTCTAAGAAAATCTCCGAGACTGTAGGCATACTATCGAAGATACGGTACTATGTTCCACAGTCAGCCCTCCTGGCCCTATATCACTCTCTTATTTACCCCTATCTCACCTATGGAATTTGTGCATGGGGCTCAACAACAACTAACCATCTCAGACCACTAATTACCCAACAAAAGGCTGCAGTTAGAATGATAACAAATTCTCACTACAGGCAACACACCACCAATATTCAAAACACTCAACCTACTCACCATACAAAACATCCATACTTATTATTGCACCTATTACATACATAGAACACTTAACTCTGATATTAACCCTCCCCTCAAACATCTCCTTGCCAACCTCAACAGAACACATGCCCATAACACAAGGCACAGATCACTCTTTGATGTTCCTCGTGTCCATCTCACGCTATGCAAAAACTCAATGCACATAAAAGGCCCTAAAATCTGGAATTCATTACCTGCAAATATAAAAGAAACACTACCTGTTTATAAATTCAAGTCTCTTCTCAAAGATCACTTACTCACTCAAAACCAAATAAATACTGAATAACTGAACCTTATAAATTGTATATCCTATATGTTACTCACAATTATATCACACAAATGTTAAACCTAGGACCCAATCTAACTTTATTATTTTTTTAAATACACTACCTAACAGAATACTCCATTCTACTGAATGTACAACAATGCATGCAACCACATGACCTGTCTTTGTAATACTCATTTGTGCTTTATAGTTATCTGTTTACAATAATGTTTTATCACTGATTTCATCATTGCTTAGTTAATCTTAAGTTAATTTTAAGCCAGCCCGTAATGCTTTGCATATAAGTGGCTTTGGCATGCTGCTCTTACCTGTATTTTTTGTACCTCTGTTTGTATACTTAAATTACTAAAAAAATTACTAAATAAATCAAGAACCAATTCAATATGTCAATACGCCTTATAGGCTGTAAAATATGGTATGTTGCTCCACAGTGTACACTGTAAGTATTCATTTTTTTTAATTAGAAACTACACGATACTATGTTTTTCAGATGAGAGGTAGAACACTGTGTTTTGTTCGCTAATAAGCGCTGTTCAATTTTAATGTACTCACATACATATATACCTATATGTCCCTTAGTGTAATAAACCATTTTCTTAAGTGTTTGTTTTGTTTAACCTTCCTGAACTCATTTTGAGGGTTTATTAAGTAGTCAGGTTCACCCTTGGTGGTGAAACACATTGTGGAAACAATTAATACGGCCTGCATACACATCTCTGAAACAGTCGGTTCCTGTCCTCCCCATCAGTACGTCTCAGTATTTTGTACATCGTTATGTCTGTCCTGGTCCTTCTATCCTCAGTCATCAGGTTCAACTCCTGTACTCTCCCCTCACAGCTCCTTAGCTCTCCTTGTCAAGTGTGTTGGTGTATGTGCGTGTGTACTCACCTAATTGTGGTTGCAGGGTCGATTCATAGCTCCTGATCCCGCCTCCTCACTGGTCGCCACGAAGTCCACTCTTTCCCTGCTCCATGAGTTTTATCATACCTCTTCTTAAAGATATGTATGGATCCTACCTCCACTACATCACTCACCAAACTATTCCACTTCCTGACAACTCTCTGACTTAAGAAATATACTGAATTTGTATTTATATTTCCATGCTGCAGCAGTTATTTGGTTGATGTGCGCCTCAGGATATGTGTTCGGTATTATACTCACCCTAAGATTCTTTTCCTTGAGTGAGGTTTGCAGTCTTTGGCCCCCTAGCCTGTACTCTGCTTGCGTATGTGTGTACTTACCTATTTGTGGTTGCAGGGGTCGATTCACAGCTCCTGACCCTACCTTGCTGGTCACTACTAGGTCCACTCCCTGCTCCATGAGCTTTATGTATGGATCCTGCCTCCACTACATTACTCTGCAGATTGTTCCACTTCTTGTCTGCTCTATGGCTGAAGAAATACTTCCTAACATCCCTGTGACTCATCTGAATCTTCAGCTTCCAGTTTTGACCCTTGAGTGTGTGTGTATGTGTGTGGAGGCTGTGGCAGCAGTAGCATCCCTGGTTGGCACCCCCACCAACTAGTTGCTGGCCAGGACTGGAGAAGGACGGCAGCGTCTCTCCCACTTCCCTCACTCGTCCACACAGGCCTCGTCTCTGCTCCTCTCTCCTCGCAGTCTGGCTCTCCATCTCGGTGTCAGAGTAACGCACTCTTCAACCTCTGTAGAAACACTGAAATGTTCATTTATTGACTGTGGTGCCAAAGACAATTGGAGAGGTTGAGTGAAGCTCGAGTGGTGAGGTTGAGAGAACACAGCTGTTAAAGAGGGTATGCTGCCAGCGGTGCTCACAGATAGAACCATCACAACCAGCTGCTCGCATCGACTCTCATAGTGGCGCATGGCAGCGGTGCTCACAGTTGGCACCATCACAGACAGCTGCTCTCAGACTCATAGTTATGTATCTGTAAAACATTTGGGGAATCTCACTGCCCTTTCGAGTTTAGAGCTGTTTATATGCCCTTTAAATTTTTGAAGCGCTGTTAGTCCCGAGACTGAGAGTTATTGTTATATTCAAATAAATGTTACTTCAGCTTTTACCGGAGGTAATCTATAACTTTCTCCGTTGAAACCGATGCAAAACACATGACTTTACTGTTCTTTATGAGTGGCACAATTGTTAACAATAAAGCCTTATATAACTGTCATATATGAGCGTTGACTGTACTGCCAACTTGACTGTGATAACCATTATGAAACAACGAAGCAGATGATGATGCTGAACCCCCGTTATAATGCAATACACTTCCTCATCTTTGATACCGTGAAGCTTTCATAAAACATTCCAATGACAGAGTTCCTTATTGAACTGGAAGAAGCAACGCTGACTCTCAAACACATCTTACAACTACATGTGGTAGCGAAGAACTGTTAAGATAAACTATAGGCTATCACGACATTCTTCACACCATCAGAAATCACAGAGAGCATCAGAATTCAAGGCATACAAGTAGCAAGTTTGGAAAGGCCAACAGAGACCATCACTGACAACCCGAAGCCCAGACCGAGCAGGGAAGGGTTACCTTGTCAGCCAGAAGGTGGCTGGGGCGTGAGATGAGAGGGCTGGTGGGCGGCAGCTGAGGAATAATTGAGAGGTGCGCCGGGGCCAGCATGGAGACCAGGTGAGTGGTGCACCTGTTTGGTATACGTCCCTCTCACCTTGTTACTTATTCTCACTTTCCTGACGTGTTCGTCAGTCCAGTGCACTCGTGTTTTTATTAATTATTTTATCATTAAAAGTAACTGTATCACTGTCATCAGTCACACTCCTCTCCATCTAGCAGTTAATAGATGCCTGGAGAATCTAGTAGTTAACAGATAACAGAAGAATCTAACAGTTAACAGATACTTGGAGCATTTAGCAGTTAACAGATACCTGGGGGTTAGTCCACTGTTGTGGGTTCAATGACAGGTGAGAACTTAGCCGAAATATGTTATATTACAGAACTTGGTTTTCTTGAGTTAGTAATCTTTCTTCTTCTTAGCTTTAGTAAGCTTCTGACATCATTTGTAGCTTATACTTCAGCAAATTGAATCAGTTTAAGCGACCATTTCAGGTCTTAAGGGGATATGTTGCCTATCTTGTTTATCTTCGAGACGTGTTGAGGAGTATGCTGTCACTCTTGTTATCTTCGAGACGTGTTGAGGAGTATGATGTCACTCTTGTTATCTTCGAGATGTGTTGAGGAGTATGATGTCACTCTTGTTATCTTCGAGACGTGTTGAGGAGTATGCTGTCACTCTTGTTATCTTCGAGACGTGTTGAGGAGTATGTTGTCACTTGTTATCTTCGAGACGTGTTGAGGAGTATGCTGTCACTCTTGTTATCTTCGAGACGTGTTGAGGAGTATGCTGTCACTTGTTATCTTCGAGACGTGTTGAGGAGTATGCTGTCACTCTTGTTATCTTCGAGACGTGTTGAGGAGTATGCTGTCACTCTTGTTATCTTCGAGACGTGTTGAGGAGTATGATGTCACTCTTGTTATCTTCGAGACGTGTTGAGGAGTATGATGTCACTCTTGTTATCTTCGTGAGATGCTGAGGTGTGTGTTGTCAGTCTTACCTTCGTGATATGTTGAGGTGTATAGAATGTATTGATTTCCAGCTCTTGGACCTCCTGAGAGAAATCCAACAGCCTCTAGGTTTCTGAATGGGATCTGAGCTACAGCTCCTCAGCCTCTTGAGGTATATGTATATATATATATATATATATATATATATATATATATATATATATTATATATATATATATATATATATATATATATATATATATATATATGTATATATATATATATATATATATATATATATATATATATATATATATATAATATATATATATGCATATATATATGTATATATATATATATATTATATATATATATATATTATATATATATATATATATATATATATATATATATATATATATATATATATATATATATATATATATATATATATATATATATATATATATATATATATATATGACAACAGGTGTGGGATTAAACCAAAAAAGTATCTAACACAAGGTGGGAGTTATCACAGTTGCTCTTTGCTGATGACACTGCTTTGAGGAGATTCTGAAGAAGTTGCAAAGGTTGGTGAACGACTTTGGTAGGGTATGTAAAACAAGGAAATTAAAAGTGAACATAGGAAAGAGTAAGGCGATGAGGATGCAAAAATCTTAGGTAATGAAAGATTGGATATCAGATTGGAGGAAGGGATTATGAAGGAAGTGAATGTATTCAGATATTTGGGAGTGGACTTGTCAGCAGATGAAAGACGAGGTGAATCATAGAATTGATGAGGAAAAAAGGTGAGTGGTGCACTGTTGAGTTTGTTGAGACGAAGAGCATTATCAATGGAAGCAAAGAGGGGAATGCATGAGAGTATACCAACACTCATATGGGAGTGAAGCATGGGTGATGAATGTGGCAATGAGAAGGGTGGAGGCAGTGAAGATGTCTTGTCTGAGGACAATGTGCGTATGGCCCTGATAGGTTTAGTGTTTCCTTTTGATTATAAAAATGAGGGCAATGTCAGCGTGAATATAATGCAGAGAATCTATAGTTTGGAAATTTGGAGGAGGTGCAGGGTTACTAACAGTATTATCCTGAGGGCTGACGAGAGATTGCTGACGGCTGTGGAGTCAACACATAAAACCTTTGACTCCGACTCCTTTATTTAGGCACCTCTGACACTGACTCCGACTCCTTTAATTGCATTTTACCGACTCCAACTCCGACTTCTGCAACCCAAGAATTGCTTACGATTCCGACTCAATTCCACGACTCCGACACCACAGCCCTGGTTGTTGAGGTAGTTCGGAAATTTAGAGACAATGGAATGAAATAGAATGACTTGGAGAGTGTATAAATCTGTAGTGGAAGAAAGGCAGGGTAGGGATCATCCTAGGAAAGGTTAGAGGGAGGGGGTAAAGGAGGTTTTGTATATGAAGGACTTTGACTTCGAGCATAGGAGCAAGTGTAGACACATGATTTTTATGACATGACGTGCTCTTTGAGTGTGAGTAAGGTAACACTTATGAAGGGATTCAGGGAAACCGGCAGGCCGGACTTGAGTCCTGGAGATGGGAAGTACAGTGCCTGCACTCTGAAGGAGGGGTGTTAATGTTGCAGTTTTATAACTGTAGTGTAGGTGCGCCTCTGGCAAAAAAGTGATGGAGTGAATGATGAAAATATTTCTTTTACGGGTCACACTGCCTTGGTGGGAGACTGTCTATGTGTTAATAATAATATAGAATTGTATTGTCCAGTAGTTTAGAGCGTCGTGAATTTTCGCTCGCCATGAAGCGGGCTAAAACACGGGTTCGATCCTCCGAATAGCTGCAGTGTTGTTATATATGTGTGTGTGCGTGTGCGTGTGTGTGTGTGTGTGTGTTTTGTGTGTGTGTGTGTGTGTGTGTGTGTGTGTGTGTGTGTTGTGTGTGTGTGTGTGTGTGTGTGTGTGTGTGGTTGTATAGAAGAAATCACAATAAAATGTGTGAGTGCAAACATGAAAAAATTGACACAGTGAGAATGGGAAATAGAACCTGAGCGCTTTCATGTACTTACATCTTCAGACGAATAGGAAGATGAGGCAAGAGAAGCACATTTTATATGTTAAACCCTGAGGTGACACCTCATTCAAAGACGGTGACAATACCTCACATAAACCTGTCCCGCACAAATCTAACAAACGCATACATTTGTCCGGTGGTCTGGTGGCTAAAGCTCCCGCTTCACACACGGAGGTCCCGGGTTCGATTCCCGGCGGGTGGAAACATTTCGACTCGTTTCTTTACACCTGTTGTCCTGTTCACCTAGCAGCAAATAGGTACCTGGGTGTTAGTCGACTGGATGTGGGTCGCATCCTGGGGGACAAGATTAAGGACCACAATGGAAATAAGTTAGACAGTCCTCGATGACGCACTGACTTTCTTGGGTTATCCTGGGTGGCTAACCCTCCGGGGCTAAAAATCCGAACGAAATCTTATCTTAACATCAAGTTACATTGTTAGCCTGACAAAGACCACACTGTACTTTTGTGAAATATATTTTGCCTTTAATATTATGGCAATATTTTGGACTATAAAACTCAGATTTATTCATTCAGAATACAAATTTTAAATATATTGTGCAACAAGTTTGATAAAAGTTGATTCCATAATATTTCCTTGAACTGTTGAATTACAAGGAATTCTTTGGCATTAGTAAAATCTACTCAATGATCTGTATCCCTTCTGATGAACAAAGAACTGGATTCTTGTCAACTAGATATTGCATATTTACATGTTTATTCCGGTCTCGAGGACTGACCGTTTGTCCTAAGTAACAGGTATTACAACTTCTCAAGGGATTAGTGTATACACAACGTACAGTTCCTTAGGAAAATTATTTAATTTTGTTTCACGGTACTGTCGTATTTAAGGATATCTTTAACGTTTAAGTTTGTAAGGGGTGTGGGAGGTGAGAGAGACTTGCATTGTACTGTTAACCTACATCTGCGAAGTCGTTATATCGGGGGGGTCAGGCGGGTTGGTAGGGGTTTTTTGGGGTTTTGGGAGGATTTTAACGGGTGGTTTATGTATGGGCGGGGAGTGGGTTTGGACTGCAGCCACGCAATGGATGAATGATCCTACTTATACACCTACGTACATCGACTATAGTATTAATAATTGTAACTCACTTTGTCAAATTAAACACATTTGAGTCGTACTGATCCATGGTACTCAGTCAATGCTCAATCATCCATCCTCATATATACACAATCACCTAATACATAATGTACTACTCCACATAGTACACCTACCATCCTAAACATACTAGTCACTACTAGTCAATGATAATCTGGCCTGTACATGCTAATCGAATGTAAAACCCTTTTTAAACCGAATAACCATGATAATCACCCCCAACCTAACTTCAAAAAAAATCAATAAGTTATCTATATAAAATTTATATACTATCTACATTACTTAATACAATAAAATAAAATTTCCTATCCCCCCCCAAAAAACCCCAATAAATAATATAACAAACCCTAAAAATCAAAACCCCTTTTAAAAAAAACCCCCCTTTAAAAAAAAATTTTTAAAATTTCCCCCCCCCCCCCCCCCCCCCCCCCCCCCCCCCCCCCCCCCCCCCCCCCCCCCCCCCCCCCCCCCCCCCTTCCCTTAAACAAAACCATTTCATAAACCAATTTTCAATTTTTCCTTTTACCTTCCTTCAAAATTTAAACCCCAATTACACAACCTAATCCTAAAAAATTTTTCCACTGTATTTTAATCTTTTAATTTAAAATTAAAAACCCCAAAACCAACCAACTTAAAATTCCCCCTTTTTTTAAAAAATTCCAATCATTTCTCCCCCCGATTTCCCCCACCCCCCCGGGGGGGGGGGGGGTCCACCCTTCCAAACTCTGCGCCCTCCACATCCCCCCCTCCTCCCCCCACCAAAACCCCCACTTTTCCCTACCTTTAAAAACCCTTACCTCTTCCCCATATTTCCTTTCCCCCTTACCCCCCTTAAACTTCACACGCTTCCCCTATCTAACCTTTTCCCCTCTACTTTTCCTCTTTCCAACTCCTTACCACCCTTTCCTTCTCCTTCCC